TGGAGCTTTAGGAAACAAGCAAACAATCTTTTCAATGGAAAAATATATGAATGCAAAAGTGTGACTGCAAAGAACTGCTGTGGAGACGTCACTCCGTCACTTTATTCTTCTCAAAGATAAAAGAAGTCTATCTATAACTTCCACTATCTGCATACTGTTTTGCGGAAAACTTACCGGCTTATCAGAATGCCATGGGATCGTCTTTCGAGCAGCCATTTGTACAGGAATTCCTCGGTTCTTTGAAACACGATCAAGCTGAAATTTAAAAAATCAAACAAGGAATGGGAAGAAACTCACTACACACTAGTTCGCGTTTTATTCCTGAACAAAAATACGTGCACTTCGGAGCAACAAGAGCGATCGTATCCCTTTCAATAACGGTCGTAATTGAGAGGGCCTAAAATAAAGTGGTGCTCATTCTCAAACCCCAGCCCGTGTGGTTCAAATTTGTCAGCTGGAAAGATTTTCAAGAATAAACGGGTTGACGACCTATTTCAGTTTGCTTCTCATGCAATTCTTGAAATGCAGAATTATCGAAGGTCCCGAAAGAAGGTATATCAGCTGCTGATGAAGTAAAAACATACATGAGTCACTGCCATGTCTTTCAGAAATAATGAATGAGAGAGGTTCGGCCAGATAAAGTTTGACTTCTGACAATTTATGCGAATGTGGAAAGCAGTAAGACTAGACCACGTAAAAGGAAATAGGTACGATCCCAATAAAAAGTACCATCTCCTTCATCAGAAGCACCTTGGCTAATGTAAAAAGGCTTCAAAAGCTAAAAAATTGCAAATAAAAGCGCAAAACTACACAGAACAGATTTGTGGCAGTACCGCACTTTAAATAATCCGAAACAATGATTAGGTCAGAAGCTCATCAAACACATCATCTAGCACGGAAAATACTACCAAAATACGGGGCAGTTATCAAGGAATGGCAGATGGTAGGGGAGAGAACTGTTGTCAGATGTTTGAAAAAATAAAATCTGATAACTTATACATTTCATAGCAAAAAGCATCTGTACGAGTGCTAAAAAGTCTTGGTAAAAATGAATTCAATTGCACGAGCGCCGGAATAAAGCAAGATGAAAACGAAATACTGCACCGAAAACCATGGAATGCTAAAAATTGTGAGTAGGGAGCAAACTGAGTCAAAAATAAGACGCCAGTATTTTTGTTAAGAGCAATCTCATGAAAAGAGTGTTCTAAAGCCACTCCAATGAGACTTTAACAACATTCCTCAAGTTTAGACACTTTTTTTTTTCGATTTTCTTGAAACAAAGCCACTCAGAACTTCACCGTCACATCCTCGAATTTGGGTCATGAAAAAAATTTCACGCACGTTCATGATAATTGTGAGGCAACTGTGGAAGCGGGATACTTATAT